TTGTGAGTCTAAATGGTGAAATATAGTTGAAGACTCCCAAAGTGGAAGTGAAGATGCTGAGGACAAAGAGAAACTATGGACTGGATACCCTGCACGCATTCTATCTCTTCTCTCCTCTCTCTCTGTCTCTCTGTCTCTGTCTCTCTGTCTGTCTGTCTCTCTCTCTCCTTGCTGCTCCAATACCTGAGGGATATGGCCTCACTCATGCATAACACAGGCTCACCAAGACTGAGTATCTCGAGGGGTAAGAGGGTAGCAGGAGTTTCCAAAATCTTCAGAGAGGCAAATAAGGATAAAGTTCCCTCCTTAAGTGAGGCCACCCCCGGAGCAGTGTGCCTCTTTCTGTAGTTGCAAATTAGGGCAGTAGACCAGGTGGAGGAAGCCCAAAGTGCAAGACAAGGCAGTCGGAAGTTCCCAGAGACTTTTGGTAAGCTAAGTAAGGGTAGCAAGACCATTTTTTTCTCTTCTCCTGCACTTACATGGCATAGCACAAATCTACAATTCTAAAACAGCTCAGCAAGTAACAAGTTAAGAAACCAGAAGAAGAGCTTTTGTAATAAAAATCAAAGTTGAGGAAAAGGCCAGGAATTTTAGCATAACAAGAATTATGCCAAGAAGCCCTCGCTCTCCAGGTAATTAAAAGCCTAATTGCCTTGTGGAGTCTGACCTAGAGGTCAGAGGATGAAAAGAGGCTTCCATTAGCCCCCATTTAGACCTAAAGCACTCACCAGCCCCATGCAGAAAAAGCAAAAAAAAAAAAAAAAAAAGGAAACAGAGAGACTGACAATCCTAAGGAAAAGATGAGAAGAGGTTGAAACCTAGGAGGGAGGCAGAATTCAAAGGCATATTTGTTCATAGCTGTATCTCTAATGTCTAAAGATTGGCACATACAGCAGGCAATGAATGAATAAGCCCATGGGGAGGTGAATCTCAGATCAGATGGTACTGAAGAGAGGGGTATGAAAGGGGGGACTGGGAAATGAGGCTCCACACCTGTGAAGAAGCAAGTGGTGAGCTGAATCGGGCAGACTCGTAACCCAGAGGACTCTGCATGAATCCTGAGAGCCTCTCAAGCCTAATGAAGAGGCTGCTCTCCATACCCTTTTGCACTCTACATATTGCTAACAGCAAAGCTCTAGGTGTTAAAATATTTTTTTTTAGTTGAAAACATTCAAAATTGAGAAATTCTACATAAAGATCCTGATTCCTCACACTCTTTTAAAATGTAGCGACACCAGCTTTCATTAACCCCAGGTACACAATCCAGCACTGCAGAACAGCCTAATTTACACACAATCTCCACCTTTTTCTACTGCCCCCCGCCACACAAAGAATCTATAACCCAAGGAGAGAGTTCTTCAGGAAAAGCTAACCCTGCCAACACCTCAATCTCAGACTTCTGGTCTCCAAAACTGAGGAAATACATTTGTTATTGTTTAAGCCACCCAGTCTGTGGTACTTTGGTATGGAAGCCCTAATGAACTAATACATATATCCTTATGAAACAAATTTGGCCCATTTCACAAATTTAATTATAAGCCTAGCCCTGAGGCCTCTGAATATAAACTGTTTAAATTCATTCATTCACTCAACATTTGAGCACCTACTACGCCTTTAACACTGCACATTTATTAAGGACCTTCATCATACAATTTTATTCTCTTAACAACCCACTTCTAATTTTTTCCAACCATTTTCTGCTGAGCAGCTTTACGTGGCATTTGGTTGTCTGCTGCTGCTTCTCCTGATTAAAGGAATGATACTTGCTATGAATGTGTTGTGAACAGCATCTGAGGCCCTAGTTCTGAACATTGGCTAGACATCAGAATCACCTGTTTTAAAAATACCTATACCTAGACCAACCACTCTATCCCTACCCCCCAATTCTGATTTAGTTGGTGTTTGTGTGGAACTCTGGTAGTATATTTCTTTAAGCTTCCCAGATAATTCTACTGTGGAACCAAGGTTGAACAGTTATTCTAGTTTGAAAAGAACTTAAAGGTCACCTTCTTTCTTACACAGTTCACAAAACATCAGCACTGGTATCGCCTGGAAGTTTGTTGGAAATGCAGAAACTCAGGTTCCACACCAGACTTCTGAATCAAAAGTCGGTATTTTAACAGGATTCCCCAAACAATTCAGATGTACTCAAAAATGTGAGCACTGGATTTCCACTAGAAACACCCGGAGAGCTTGTGCAAAACAAGACTACCTGGCTTCCTGCCAGAATCACAGAATCTCAATCTCTAGTAAAGGCTTGAGAATCAGAATTTTTATATTGTTATGTAGCTAGTCACACAAGGACATGAGGCTCATGAATCACTCGTCTAGGCCAATGTATACATCCCCTCAACTATGCAGCCTCAAAGTCTCTTTTGAAAATGAAAAACAGAACAGAGATACAGAATTTTATTTTTCCATCATGCATGCCAGTTTACAACTATTTATAATGTTTAGGAACAAAGAAATAATTGCACTATTTCCAGGGTGTCGAATTAGCAAGTAAAACAACCAGTTACTGATTACTTTTAGGAGGTTATTTTCACAAGACACAGCGGTAATTTCCAAATTATACTTCCAAGACCAGATTAATATTATGAGACCGGGACAAGCTGATAACAATTCTGTCACACGAGTCTCCATCTTACACAGGAAAAAAAAGACTGATATTCTGGTGAAGGGTCTCAAGTAAGCACCGCAGCCTACCAGTCTTTGAAAGAGTTTACAACAGAACAGTCTCTATCTCCTTTTGGATGCAGGGAAAAGGGAGCATCCCTTCAAATCATTTTGAGACTCTATTAATTCTGAAGATTTTAACTTCTAAGGCCTATCTCTGGAACTTCATTAGTTAACATTAAGAGCAAAAAGCAGACCTGATGCAATAATGATAGTGTACCCCACCACTATCACCACCATAAGAGAGTCCCAATCTCCCAAAGTAGTCACAGTTGAATTGGCACAGTGTCTTGGACTTTTGATAAACAATACAGGTAGGAAGAGGGACATACAAATGAAACTGAGTTGATCATGATTAATAACTGATGTAGCTAGGTGATAGGCACATTGGGTCCAAGGACCATCTTCTTCACTTCTGTGAATGTCTGAAAATGTCCATAATAAAGAGCAAACAGTTTTTTTAAAAAAACTACGACAAACAAAACAAAAAAGCGGAACTGTACAGTAAAAAAAAAAAACCATGACAAACAAAACAAAAAAGAGGAACTGTACAACTCTATTCTCCCATTAGGCCAAAATGAGGAACGTGGTAAGATTTTACTTAGAGGCAAAATAAGCAGCATACAGCATTAATCTTCCACGTACATAAGGCCACACCTAGAACAAAAGAGAAAGCATCCAAAATAACATTAAGCTGTTTTTGTTTTCTTTCTCGTATTTATAAAACACAAAAATGATGAAATGGATAGAATTTTGGGCATATCTTCACCTAGACAAAATTTTGGGAACACTTCTTTTTGTGGATTCATCCTGTTACCCTATATTTGCCTGCAACTTCTTTAATTCTCCCAGCCCCACCCTTGGGAAGGTCCCTCTACATCCCCTCCATCACTGAGTTAGGCATATTCTTCCCGAGGCTTCTCAAGCCATTTCTAGCTCCTTTTCTGGGCCCACTCTACATCAAACTCATTCCTGCACTGTATTTTTGCTCCAACTCCTCTGCCTAGCACACCTTCTCTACAACTCTGAGTCAAGTCCTCCCCATCTCTTGGGGAAATCAAAATGAAGTCTTCCACAAGGAAAGAGAAGTTAGGGGGAGGGCAAGTATAGATACAGTCCTACTTCGCCGCCCTCAGGGATGAGCGAGAGAAAGAGAACACAGACAAACCTGGGCATGGAGGGCCCAGCTCAGCTTTTACATCCAGTGGAAATGAGTCTTGGAAATCCAGAACAGATTCTGCCCACCCTAAAACCCCAGGAGAGAGCCTTGGGATCCCCCATACTGGAGACTAAAGCCTAACCCTATGGGTACTTGAAGGTAGAAACAAAGAAGGAAAAGTGAGTAAGGAGGTATGAAGGTGTGAGATGAAGAGACGCAGGCTGACATCATTAGAAATACCTCTTCCCCAACAACCCCACTAGAGCACTCTGATCAAGTGTGAGGAAAAGATAAGGGGAGAGAAAGGTACCTAGATTCTATGTAGGTCTAGTCCCCACCCTCACCTGGAGCCACAGCATGACAGTGATCACATGTCCTCATATACCAGCCCATCCATCAGTCTGGCAGCCAAGAGTTCCTAGAAGACTGAGGATGGTAGGTATGTGTTTCATGCACTGACAGGGGGCCTGGGTCCACAGGAAGTTCTTGAGGTCCTTGTTGAACAGGAAGCCAATTGGAGCCGATAGCAACCTAGAAAAAACTCAATGGCTTGATGGTGATGGGGCAGAGTGCACAGCTTGATGCTGGTTCACCAGAGGAAGGGCCCAGGGACAGAAGAGACGCAGGGTGGCATAGACTGTATGGCATACTTCTCACCCTTAACCTCATCCATGCCCAGCAGTCAAGTACCATTCTGCTGCATGTTCAGCAAGGTAACATGGACCCCTGGCCAGAGATCTAGTAGGTGGCACCTTGGCCAGTGACCCTTAGCCACTGAACAATCAGTTCTGGCTAATGGCCAGTACCATGTGCATTAGCTTCATTTTGCAGTAGCAGAGCTTAAGGATGCATTGGTCTCTTGGCAAATGACTCATGAATGCCCATGTTAAAGACAAGTGGGAAAGGCCAAAGCCAAGAACAGGGCATGTAGATAAAGGCAGCACACATCTGAAGCATGTGTTTAACATATAAACAGTAGGAGTGAGATCCCGTAACATGTGACACTAATGTAAAAAAGCAAGGCCATGGGGAGGCAGGACATGACCATAAATGCCATATTCTTGTAACTGAAGTTCAAAGGGCAAACATGAAGAGAGAGCAGATAGCCAAACACATGTGGTCAGCCAGGCACGGTCCAGCAGGAGGTAGTAGGGAGACTTGTGCAAAGTCAGCTGGATTTGTTTACCCCGGGCTCAGGGGTCTCCACTGGCTGCCTTGCTGGGCCTTGCCTGCCCTCCTTTCCTTTCTCCACTCGGCCTCCTTCACTCATAAGGTAGTACTGCAGAGGATTGGGCCACAGTTCTTCGTTAATTATCTCGACAATCTTGTCAGATTCAATGGAGCTGTGGTTCGAAAACCACCCAAAGAAGCTGCGGCTGTTGTCTGGGTTCCCCTGGCTTAGGGGCTGGAGATCATGCCCTGGGAGCCACTGGATTGGCGTAGAACGAGACACCACCTGACCTGAAGGACCACACCCATATTCCTTGATGAGCACCTTATTTTGGAAATAGGGGTTGCGCCCGAAGTAGAACTTGATTTTGTAGCCCAATCTGGCGAGGCCAAGCTCTTCCACCTCCAAGCTGTTCAAGTAGCTGAGTACTTCTTTATCTTGGTTGTTCAAAAATGATGATAGCTGAGGGTGGTTCTGAAAAGCTTGACCCCAGAAGCCCGGGATATTCTGAATGAGGAGGTTCCTGCGCTCTAAGTGGTGCAGTCGCAACTGCCCAAACTTGCGTGAGAGCCGAAGGTAGGCCCTGTCTGCCTGGGCGTTCATGGTCTCCAGCTTCAGCTGGACGGTCTCCAGCGTATCCATGCTGCCATCCGTCGCCGGGGGCCCTGAGCCTGCATCCTTCTCCGCCTCATTTTCCTCTACCACCGGGGCGGATGCACACTCCCCAGATGTCCCTTTCTTTGGCTTCCCACCGGCTATGGCCAGAGGCCCCTTCCCCACTGTGCTACAGTTTTCTGGGGTCTTCTTCCCAGCAGACCCACGCCGATTTCCAACGCGGGGGCCATTTTTCGGCCTTCCCACAGTTCCCACGGTTCCTACGAAGACAGTGTCTGTCGCCAGGCGCTCTGAGAGGAATGTGGCCTTCCCCGAACCGGGCCTGGGCTCGCCCTGCCCGCGATCCCCCGCCGCTCGGGCCCGGAGCGCGAGGCCACAGTCCAGGGGGAGCCAGCAGGCAGCCTCCTCCCCGGGCCGGAAGGGCGGCGCGGGCGCAGCGGTTTCCAGGCCACCCCAACCCGCGCCAGCCTGCACCTGTGCTGCCGTGGTTTCCTCCTCGAGCCTCTGGAACTGGGGACCATCCGGGTCGTGGGGGGCGTCACCAGGAGCTGCGCGGACTCTGGCTTTGGCGCGGCCTTTGCCCCGGCTTTTGGCGCGGGAGGACTTTCTACCCCGACTTCGGCCGCTCATGCTGGCAGCGTACGCGACTTCAAAGCCACGCTCCGACCCTGTTGCCTCTGGCGCCAGCGAGCGGTCCCAAGTGAGCGGTCCTCTCCATGACAACCACCGACGTCACGACTGTACGACTGTACCGTCGCGCGAGGACGGGCTGAGCCCGGTGATTGGCTCCGCCAGAGCAGCTGCGCAGGAGCTGACCCTCACGGACGCCTTTATCCCTTCTCATCCTAACTCACTTCGCTTTAAAAAGTGATGTGCTTCTCTTTAATTTCTTCTCTTTGGTCTCGGTTGTGTCTTCAGGGGTGTCATAGAACACCTCTAACTCCCCTTATATAAGACAACGTGAAGGCAGCCATCACGTCCCCCCATTATCTACTTTCTAAACTAAACATCTTCAGTTGTTTCAATTATCCCCTGTGACATCTATCATGATGAAACTGCTATTGACCTCTGTGTCTCATCTTCGAAAGCCTTTGCTGAGGGAGTTGCCCTGGTACCTTAACTCCAGGGCATGTAAAGGTGAGTACCATAACGTCAGGCCGCAAAGAGATTTGATAGCGATAGGATGTTAATAATGACTATTACTAAAAGTAATAGCAACTAGTATTTTATGAGTATCATTTTGTATTAGGCGCTTTATTATTTCAATATATTAGGGAGGTTTTGTTATTCTCATGTTCCAAATGAGAAAACTGTGGCTCGGGGGCACCAAGGAACATTCCTGAGATTACACAGTAAGGGATGGAAGCACAGTTCAAACCCAAGCCTATCTGACTCATAACCTATGCTTTATACTCATAAGTCCTTTCAGGTCTGCTCAGCTGTCAGTTACCTTGCTGGCTCTTAAGAACACCGATCTTGCCTGTTAAACAGGCATCAGCAGAGCACCTCTTGTACCTGGGAGCGTCACCCAAGCCCTCCAACTGTCTCGCGCCCAGTTTACAGAGCTGGGCTGTCACTCAAAGTATAGGGCCACAAGTCAGAACTTCTGTAATTGGGATAAGACAGGAACGTGGTCAGAGAGTTTAATTATCATTCAAGGAACAGAGCAGGGTTTCCCAGGTGGAGGCTTAGAGCAGAACCTCCATCGCAGTAGTGAGGAGGCCCTAGAAACTCTTTAGACCCTGCATGGAAACAGCCAGGCAACCTATCTCATGCTCTGGGAGAGAGCCCTAGACCATGCTTTTACTAGCTAGGTAATAGGATCATGACTATGACCAGTATGAAAGTGTTAATGATTTGATGTTCTTTCAGGCTCAAAGAGAACAAGAAGTTCCTTGCAACCATCTAGTGAAGGAGTTAGCTCCAAAGCCTCTGGGAGTTCAATATGTCTAACTCTCATTACTCGTGTAGTTGTGGACCGGCAGCCTGGCATCACCTCGAAGCTTGTTTAAAACGCAGAATTTCTGGCCCCACCCCAAACTTGCTAAATCAGAATTTACATTTTAACAAAGTCTCAAGTGATTTGTACACACATTAAAGTTGATTTATAGGAGACCGGAAAGAAGTAATTATTTTGATACAGACAGGCATTACTCTAAGAAAGGCCAGTACAAGTGACCTCTAACTTTCTCAGAGGTTGTACAACAGCCCTCAAGGCTCTACGTGATATAGGAAGTTCTGTCACCACCACTGCCCAACTTAACCTCTCTGACCTCACCTCTGCCCTCCCACCCCCATTCAGCAGCTTCCTTGCTGTTTTCAAATTCATTAGGTAAGCTCTTGCTTCAAGGCTTTTGCATTGGCTCTGCCTCCTTCCTGCAATGCTCTTTTACCCAGGTATGGTCAGTCATCTTGGCTGGCTTCCTTCACACTTTACTTAAATGTCACCTTCTTAGTGACCATCCTATTTAAAATTGCCACACATTCTCAGCCCTGTTATCACCTTTCAACACACTATACTAATTATTGATTATATTTATTGTTTAACTATCTCTCCTCTCTAGAATAGGAGGAGGGCAAGGGCCTTTGTTTTGTTCATATGTGCCTGCAACAGTGTCTGATACATCGTAAGCACTCAATAAACAATTGTTGAGTGAAAGAACCAAAGAGTTTTCAAAAATGGATTTATAAATTAATTGTCTGAAATGCAGAAAGCTCCTTTTTTTCCCCCACAAAAGCAATGATACATGAAGGTTGTATACTCGGATCAACACTGGGAATCTGTTAAACTCATTATTTCGTCAAAAAGTTATCTTTTGTTATGGGTACCATGCAGAACAGTCTTTAGGTGAATATCTGGAGTGATAAACAGTTAGGTTAGGGGAATTAATATTTGACTTTTAAAAAGGATTAATCCAAAGATTACTTTAAATTCTTGTCAAAGGCCCTTTCATAATCACTTCTTCCCAAAGTCCTCCATGATCATCCCAGACCACAGTAAGCAGCCCTATCCTTGATCTCATGGAGAATTTTGTTAACTGTAATATTCCTTTTGGCAATTAGACATGTAGTTTTGTGCCAGTTCTTATACAGAATTGCCTCTGAAGCTGGGTAACCAGTCTGGAACTCCCTGTAAATCTCAAAAAAGAAAAAAAAAATCTAAAAATCAGCTGAGGCAGTCACCATCTCTCTATAAATTGCAGAAATTGATGGGTTGTCCCACTTCTCAGAGCACTCACAGCTTGACCAACCTCTACTGTCAAGAGCCTTAATCCAGCGTCAGCATCTGCGTCATTTAACACTCACCCACGGCTAAGCCACTGTAGGATTAATGTAGGCTGGGCCACTGCCAACGATGTTTATTATACAATCTGCCTTGAGCCTTTTTTCATCATGTCAAAGAGATAAGCATCAAGCAAAGGAAAATAAATATGAGACTAGAGCCTTATATAAAGGTACTCCTCTCGTCCAGGTCGCCCAGCTTCTATATTTAAGAGACTGGTCTATGCTGCTGAAGTGAACTGTTGGTTTTCTTCTCAGGTATTAATATTTAACTGTATATGGGACTGTAGCTTGGATTTTCAATTAGACAGTCAACTATGTAAGGGCAGAAACTGTCTTTTATTTCTCAAAGCATCTTACAAGGGCCTTCCACATTTTAGTGATTATAACAAAGTTCACATTTATTTTGTATTTTATACAGTGCCATGTTCTAATTCTCTTAATCTCCATAACCATTCCATTGGACAGTTGCAATTAAGATGAGGTTACTGCTATACAAAAAGGTTCAGTACCTTACCCAAGGTCACATGACTAATAAATGGTTTTAGCCTGGGCAATCCAACTCCAGCACCTATGCTCTGAACCTCTACTCCATGATATAAAATTATTTTTTGAGAGAGTGAAATATCAAACTGTCTCTAGTGGGTAAAAATACATTTCAATTTCAAAAATTATATATATATAATTATACATAGACATGCATACACATACACATTTATACATACATAGGTACATCACTGAGTCATGAATCATTTTTCTGTGGAGTATACACCTGCCATGGTGATACTCAACATAAGTGAGTTTAGTTTCAACAGTCCATGCTGGGAATAAAGCATCTCTGTTTGCACTCCATTTGTTATAAGCATTCTGTGAATAGTATGAAAAAATAGATAAGTTTACTATCATGAACTCAGAAATCTAGGAGTGTTTTGACCTTATTCCAATAATTAGGAGCTTAACTCCATGATAATATAAGCATTTAATTGATTCTTTTAGATGGGATAATTCATCATTAGCAAATACTTATTAAAAAGTCATAAAAAAAAACCTTTTCAAAATATTAGAATGACTAGTCTTCACTTTTGTTCTCTGAAAATTGCATTTTCTTCATTCCTTTTAAGGTCTATTTTCCTTGAATTACAGAAATTAGCAAACTGAGAAAAAGACATTCCAGTCATCCAGAAACAAGCTGTCCTTAGCCAGCACCACCACATGGTGCCTAGTGCAGAGAACCTTAGGGTGAAGGTCTCTCTCTTTCCTATCTCAGGAATGTTTTATTATTTCATTTCTATCTATTTTTATTATCATCATTATTCCCTTTTCTGTATGTACACACAGACACGCTCTTAATATCCGTAATCCTCTTCTTTCTCTTCATACACGTTATAGTACAGAAAGTTTCTAAAGAAAGAGGTCGGTAAATTTTCACTTGGAAGATTAATTGGGAGGAAAGATCCCAACAGGTCTTGGATATGAATCTTGGGATAGCCCAGAAAAAAGTCATTGAAAAAGGGCAACATGAAAAAACAGAAACTGGAACCACCTTCACTTCATATAATCTAAGGTCCTGCATGAATTACACCAGGTCCTGAATTGAAGAAGGCCACGATCTTCATGGAAGACGACCAGAACCTACATGAAGTTAGGGTCTTGGCATGGAAATAGGGAAGTGAGTCTTCTCATATCACCTAGCACATCTCAGACACCAGGCAGGTGCTGGGCTATGCTGGTGAGAGAAACCAATGAGAAGACCCCACTCTTAGCAGGTAAGCCGTCAGTTTTCATGAAGCTAGGTGTTTACATCAAAGACTTGGGAAAAATGAACAAAGATAAAATTAAATTGAATTTTAAATTAATGGGCAAGCATCTTACACTTAAAATGTTCGATTTTATACTATTACCCATAAGCACAGGATTTTATTGTTCCAATTCTTTTACCTTGGCTAATTTAACTAAAGAAACTGCTTGCCTCCTGGATGCCTGCTTTGGTTATTCATTCTGTATTTGTGTAATATCTGATAGCAATAAGACATTTTTAAAGCACTTAATAGTCAAGAAAAAGAACAAAGGAAAATTAAGGGCTGGAAATTTTTTAAAAGCAAAAGAGAGTCAAGTACCCAAATGCATTCCATTCCAATGTGTCTTCTATACTTGCTGGAGGCTAGCTACGGATTCGATTCTGTCCCACCAGTACAAAGAGAGAAATCAGATGTGGTGTGACATGATGTTTATAAAATTAACCAAAACAAAACAGGTTCTCAGAGAACACACATTTATTTTCAATACTGAATCCAAAGAAGAATATCAGGATTAAAAGTGCCAATAGTATCCTGACCCTGAATCCAACA